CACAAGGGTAATAAATACTTCCATCATATTGTTACAAACCATTAAGTTTCAAATTCAAATCATTGAAACATTCCCACAGCATTTGATAAATTTCTGTTAACAAATTATGTACATGTTCTTCACATACAGCAGCTAAAATTACTATCAAAATTTCAAGCGCGTTTTCCATTTTATTTACACTTTCTTCAATTAAACGAATGTCCTCAGAATGCATCCGTTCTTTACCTAAATTATAATCCAAAACAGTTGTCGTAAAAAACGTTTCCAAATCCATTACTAAGTAGGTAATTATTTAACTCAAGGGTCTTTAAGTAAAATTTTATTATTTAACTACCTGTTTTGAGTAGCCACCGAAAATTCACCGAGTTTTTCTTTCGTTTTTAAATAAAAACAATCGCTGATAGAATCTAACCTCAAAAATTCAAAAAATATTGCCGGTAAAACACCAGTAAACTAGTAAAAAAACTACGACATCTATGAACAACGGGTTAAATGACTGTAAACTTAAAAGAACAACGACATCTATGAACAACGGGTTAAATGACAATGCCACGTTGCCACATTGAATTGTCTGTCAAAAAAACAAATATATATTAGCAGATGTCAAAAAAACATAATATTATTAATAATATTATTATAATAATATTAATATTAACACACGAAAATAAATATATTGTTCTTAAAAAATAAATATGTTTTGAGTAAAATAATAAATATATTTAAAAATAAATTTAAAAAATATATATAATTAAACAAAAATAAATATATATTAGCAACATAATTATGGCACAAACGGCGCCTCATACTTCAGTTACGATACTTTGGTTAACAATTTTATTCAAAATTTAATTGAAATCTAAATAAAAATGTATATTTCAGCATCGTTACTGCATTCAAACAACAGTTAAAAAAATCATCCAATTCAGATAAGGGCCATTCCACGCTTAACGGATAGGACAGTTTCCGTGTTTTTATTTACAAAATAATATTGTTCTATTATATTAACAAATGTAAAATTTTTATAAATAGTTCTAAACAAAAGCTTTTTAGCAAGGTTTTTATTTGGCAAAATTAGGTATCGTGATTGACTGTTTAATTCCTTAAAAATTAATAATTTAAAGCGTAACGGGCGGGACTATTACAAAGTCCCGTCCGTTACGCTTTAAATTATTAGTTTTTAAGGAATTAAACAGTCAACCACGATACCTAATTTTGCCAAATAAAAACCTTGTTAAACAGCTTTAGTTTAGAACTATTTATAAAAATTTGACATTGGTAATATAATAGAACAATATTATTTTGTAAATGGAGGGAATGGCCCATAAGCTGTTCGAGTGGAAATCATACAAACATTTGAAGAAAAAAACAAAATGTTCACAAAATATATATAGTCCTATAGGACTAAAGTATGATTTTAATTGACATCCCACAGGGTGTCACAAATTTTCGGCAAAACACTTCTTCTTACTTTTGCACCCTGTATATGCTAAAATAAAAATGTCTACCATAGCATCGTAACGGAAGAATCAAACTACATTAAAAAAAGTCATCAAAATCGCGACGAAATCAACATTAAAATTGTTGCTAATTTCTGGTGGTAAACATAATTAAAAGGAGGATTTTTAATAATAAAGAAAAAAATATATTCTAATTTCAATACAAAATTTATTTTGACTTACAATAACAATATTTTTTGTTAAAGGGTTTCATGTTACATTTAAATTATAAAAGAACGAACAATTTTGTGATTATTAATAAAAATAAAGATGGTATTATATTGCAATTACAATATTTTATGTCAACCTCACCCCAAATTTTAAGTTTAAAAATATGTATTATACTTAATTTAAATTTGTTAAAAAAAATAATCATTTTTTTACGTTGTCCGCAAAGAAAGGTTAATGGCTAAAATCTCACGTGAGGGATAGGGGGGTCTACAACATCTCACCAAATCTCACCAAGGGGGAGGGGGGGTCCAAATTATCAGAACTAAGTACATTTTAACCTAAGAAAATGTCAAAAAAATGATTGTTTGCTACTTGGCAAATATAATTTTTTATTAATTTAAATTATTTATGTTGTGTTAAGTAGGTATAAACCAATAAACGCGTTAATTTGGATGCATTTTTTAATATTTAAGTGCCTAAAAGTCCGGTCTCTAATAATTAATAATTGTTTTTTAATCACTTTATATCAATAAATCCAGTTCAATGACGTATGAATATATTTAATTTTTACAACTTAAACTGTTAACCTATAGTTTAAGAATTTTAATATGCAATTACACATGATCGAGCACATGATCAACATCATGAGCTGGCCAAATAGCTTTCAAATTAGCTAAAGGCCAAAAAATTTTGAGGAAGAAGAATTACACATGGTGTTTTTGAATTAACTGACTATTTTGTTTATAAAATATTTTTACAATTTGGCAATACAGGGTGCACCAATTATCCTTGTATGTATGATTTTTACAAGGTAAGTTTAATTAGAGAAAAGTGGCGTAATTACAAGTTTATTAAAATGGCATTTGAAAATTGTAAAAAAAATTCAGTTGTTCTCAATAATTAAAAAAAAATAGAAAACCCTTCTAAATGAAAAATCGTTCACATGTAAACAAATTTATCCAATTTCATCCAATTTGTGATTTTTTCGTTGCCATCTTTTGTTTTTCTATGGCTGCCATATTAAAATTTGGGCTGAAGTTAGTTTTATTATAAATTGGTAAAAAGTGAGGTTAAATTCGACCGACAGTTGTCAAGTGTCAAATTTTTAACAAATTAGCTTTTAATTCTTCTTTGAGTTCGTGTATAAACTTGCCTAATTAAAACTCGTGGCTAAAATACCTTTAATAAAACTTGATACATAATAGGTATACCTACTATTTTGAATTTTATAAAATTATATCGTTGAGTGAAAATCAACGATTATACCTGTGTTTACTTTAGAAAAAAATAATTTACAAAATTAAAAATCAAACATTTTTTTGCATTTAATTTTAATAAGTACCTATGTATGTATAGTAAAACTGTAATTAAGAATATTACACATAGACCCGTTAAATTCATTAAAGTAAGACAATTATTTTGAAATGGTAATTTTATTAAGTAAGTAGGTTCTGTAAATATGGTAATAAATCCAGTACAAATTTGATAGGTATACATATTTATAACCCATGTGAAAATTAATAATTAAATCTAGGTGCCTACTTTAATTTTTGTAATAAAATCTTACCTCGAATCTTACAATAAAGAAATAAATTAATATACCTATCTGGACTGCGGCAACGTTGCAAATTTAGGTTTTTGGTTGGTAAATACAGTTGTCAAGTTGGTCGCATTGATTAAAACAAACTAAGCTAGTTATAAATCTAATTGTGGTTATGTATAAATTATTGTAGGTTAAATTGTGCAGTTGTCAAGTTGAGTTGTCGAAATTCGTAGTTAAAAATGCAATTAATTTGGCTTTGGTGGTGCTTGGATGAGTAAAATCATATAAAAAAGTAGTTAAATATAGGTTGCTTTGCGGCCAGAACAGAAAGTATTCCTAGCGGATAATAATCTTCGCTTTGAAAAGAATTTACATAAAAGAAATTAAAATTTTTTTTGAACGTAAATGATGTCCAATGGTGAATAATGTGAAAATAATGTGTGATGTAATATTTATAAAACCAAATTCTTTACTTTTTTACTCCAAAAATGTCCATAAGGCGATGTACTTTTTCTTCCATTGTGGCGCATTTGGCATAATTTCATCAAAATGAAGTTTTGCCCTCAAAAGGGCTTTTACATTCGAATTCGTTGCTATTATTTTTGGCATAATTATCTTTTTATTTATAATTGACAAGTCATCAATAATAAATATTATTGTCAATTTGACAGTGTCAAAGTATTTAATTAAATTCTTTAGCAGAAGTACCATTTTTAAATACTAAAAATACTAAGTCAAACTGGCATAAGCCACCAACCTAACAAAAAAACACGAGTCCAGATAAAAAAAATTAACTGTAGGTGGGTATTATAATAATTATTTAAAACTTAAATGTCTAAAACACAAAAACTGTATTTATAATTTTTACAGTTTTTGGGTTATTTTCTGTCTAATTTTTTTGAGGACCCCTAATAAGGGTTGTCATAAAATCTATTAAAACAAGACGTAAAGTTTTTTTTACTCGCTATTTGACACATTTTATGTTGGTATTGTATATTAATATATTTTGGTATTTTTAATATTTAAAATTGGTACTCCTGTTTAAGCCCTTAATTTTAAATACTTTGATATTTGTCATTTAAGTGTCAGAATTATAATAAACATCCATTTGTAGTCATCTATGTTTGTAGTTGGGAATGCAAATTTGTTTCTTTTGGGCCGTAAAGTCACCTATATTTTATCCAAGGTAGTTATTGCATTTTTAACAACTTAAATATATTTGACATTTTAAAATGTATAAACATATTCTTATAATTATAGCATAACCACAATTATCTTCTGAGAAGATTCTTGAAGTTGTCAAATCTCAAATAAAAATATCACACTCTATATTATATCCTTGAAGGCAGAGGTTAAAATAGTTGACAGGTATATTTTATGACAGTTTGAGTCAAAAAATTAAAAGTTTTAATTATCATTCATTACTTTATAATTATTATTTAGGTTGTTAAGAAATTTTAACATTTATTTTGATTATTTTTTATAAATAAATAGTTTTAAAATTTAGTCAAATACCTTTTAGGCTATGCAAACTGAATTTTAATTTTTTATGTCCCTATATTGTCCTATTTTTAACAAGATAGGTATATTTAAAAGCGAAACTCTTATTTTACAAACAAAAAATACAATTAAAACTTAATATTCAGATCTGTCATCTAACCGGCTATATGGTAAGCAAACCTTAAAACTGTTGTAACTTAAATTAAGCAAAGTTGACCACCTGTATAAAGGTAGGTAGAGGTAAACAAACTTAACAAGTGGGGGACTTAAAATCTAGACCACCGACTTACCTCTCGAAAACTGTTCACTAAAAAACTTTCAAATTGACACTCATTTGCACAGAAACAGTCGCACAAAACTTTACAGGGATATTTTTTCGATGGAAAAGAAAGCGCGAAAATCTTTTACTTTACGAAAAACCACCGTTGTCGTTTCGTATAGCCGGTCGCATGCGTTTGGCTACTGGCACTCCAGTCTAGAACGGGTTTTTCGAAGTCAAGTTCACACAGCCGCAATCGTTTAGGGCCGCGCCGGTTAGCCCGCGGGTCGCAACAACCAATTCCTCAAGTCAATCAAATTGCTATTTTTGTTTATTATTTTTTAATGTAATAAATCTGACAACAGAGCCATTTATTAAATTAATATAACATCATAATCAAATCAAAATATCCAAATTTAAATTCTATTTTCTAACATAAAATTATAAAAAGGTCATATCATTAAATTTAATTACTGTAACACGGGTTTTAAAAAAACAAAATCATTCAGAGTGCAAGGTGCAAGGACATAATCTTTTGCTTATCTAACCAAAATAGGTACCTACCTACTTAAAATGACTTGACAATTGAGTTTCAACTATTAAAATATTTACTAAAATTTATTTTATCAATAATAATCATTAAATTAGTGGTTAGTTTACAATAATTGATAATAATAAAACGATTATTGCTATGCCATGTATGGTTTTAAACATAAAAACATATTTTTTTAAAACATACATTTATTTAGTTTTTAGGTAGGTAGGTATACTTTCGACTAAAACTTATTTTTTGTTTCGTTTAACGCTAACATTTTTGAAAAATAATTTCAAGTCAAGCTTATATTGAGCTACTACCTTTAGTCATTGAAGCATTTGTCCCGGGCATAATTTTTTTAAAATTTTTACATGGTTGGTAGGTAGGTACCTATATGATTTTTACCAAAATAATTAAAAATTGTAAGACATTTCTGTTTGACGTTTTTACTGTTTATATATAAACAGTAAAAACGTCAAATAGAAATAAAATGGGATATCCCTCTAAAAAAAATCACGTGTGGTCTACCCATTAAAAGCAAAACCACAAAAAAAATATGTTTCAAATATTTAAAGGTAGGTATTTTCATCATGTAAAAGGAGGACACTATCATTGAGGAGAACAAACCTGTTCAAAGGAGGACGTCTGGTCACCCTAAAATAAAAAAAAATGGAAAAATGAAATTAGAATCCCAGTAAGCACAAATACGTCCTTAGGCTGTCCTTGGGACGTCAGCTTGGGACATTGCGGAAGTACTCAGGACGTCCCGCAATGTCCGTTTGACGTCCCTAGGAGGTCTACAGACGGCCAAATGATATACTTTCAGATGTCCGTAGGACGTCCTGATTAGGACTATATCGGGATATACTCAAACCAGCTTATACTGAGAGGGCTTTTTGAGACTTTTCTTTGGAAATCCGCATGTTGTCATGATAACTATACAGGGTGTTCGGAATAGTGCCACTAGCACATTTAAAAGAAAATAGATTTTACCCTTAGCGGCTTGGCATCCATATTTGTTTCAGCCACCCAATATTATTGGATCTTGCTTTTGGTAGATTGTAAAGAAAACATTTTCTTAGCTTTACATTTGATCAGACTTAGAAATTACGTTGAACCAAAAATAAATAACGAAGCCGAAAACCTTGTGTTGCGGCCATGATACTTTCTTCTTCTTCTCTCCCCTTCTTCCGCTGACGGATATGACACTCCCCTAACGGATATTAAACTTACGCGCTAAATTCAAATATTTAAACGTTCCTTACTATGACACCAACAGTTGGCAAATTCGGCAACTTTTGGAGCACTTCGAGTAACGATCGGTACAAAACGGTGGCAGCACAGTCGAAGCCAGCCGTATTCAAATTCTAATATGATATTATGCGCAGAAAGCAAAGTTATGCAGAACGATAAATGACAGGTGAGAAATGACAGGTATGACAGGTGACAAATGACAGGTATGACAGGTATGATAGGTGACAAATGACAGGTGATGGAAAGTGACAGATATCTGCCGCCTTGTATAATATTACAGGTGACAAATGAAGGTGGCAAATGACAGATAAGAAAATGACAGGTGGCAGATTATGAAAGGTGACAGATATTTGTCGCCTTGCATCATATGACAGGTGACAGATATCTGTCACTTTGCATCATTAAACAGGTGACAGATAATGCAAATGCTATACATTTGTTGCCTTTTGGAAAGACGGCATGAAGATATCCAATATATATATATATATGGTATACTATTGCCATTTTAATTCTATGACGTCCTATGGACGTCCAAGGTACGTCAGAAATGGGATACCCAATATACTATACCCAATTTAATTTCAGGACGTCCCATGGACGTCCAAGGTACGTCAGAAATGGGATATCCTAAACTGGCCCGGACAGACCCAATCAGGATGTCCTTGGGAGGTCGTGTGCTATTTGGGATGCTACTTATAAGTAATGGAAATAATAAATAAAACTTCCTTATAGGCAGAACTGGGAAAGTTACTTCTGAAAGTATCTAGTTACTTTTCTAAGATACTTTAAACAAAATAACTTAGTTACCTCTAGTAACTAGATACTTTGAGTTAAAAGTATCTTTAGTTACAAGATACTTTAAAAAGTATCTAAGATACTATCCGAAAGTATCTAATATACTTTATGAAAGTATCTAAGATACTTTTGAGTAACTAAGATACTTTTAAGTAACTAAGATACTTTTGAGTAACTAAGTTACTTTGAAGTTTTAATAAAAACAATAAAATTATAAAAAATCAACAATTTGTAGGTTGGGTAATTATTTTGAATCATTCTGGAATTATCCCAATTTTCTCTAAGAAAGTATATATATAGTCTCTAAGAAAGTATATATATAGTAGATATATCTAAGTTATTTTAAAAAGTATTTTAATTACTTTAAAAAGTATCTTAGTTACTTTACCGAGTAACTTAAAGTCTATTCAAATCCAAGCTGGACTAAACAAAAACGCCCAGAAGCGTGATAACTCGTTTCTATTGGTCGATTCTGATGGTGTGACTCGGATTGTGAGCTCTTATTGGTCGATTCGGAGGATTGTGTTTACATTTAGTCCAGCTTGGATTTGAATAGACTTTAGATTCTTTTTAAGATACAAGTTACAAGATACTTTTCCAAAGTAACTAAGTTAAAGATACTCTCTGTCCAATATAAAAAGTATCTAAGATAAAGTATCTTAGATACTTTAAGCATCTAAGTTACTTTTAAGTATTTTTTTTTTTTCAAGATACTCCTCTCGCTCTGCTTATACACTGCGCGTCAAAATTAACGCAAAATAAGTAAAAAAATTCTAACTCTAAACCGCCTTTACCAATCTATCTATTTTGGATAAAAATACTTTAGTTTACGTGTTCAAGGGTTTTTCGAAAAAATATCCTTACAGCCCTTTTATTTAATAATAAAAAAACGCTCCAAAAAAACTTGTTTAGGTAATTTTATTTTAAATAAATATAAATATGCTGTGAAATACCGTGTTTTTATACTCTGAAAATGTTGTACAAATCAAACGAACAGTAACGAAAATACAGCGCTTTAAAGTCAGCAAAATAATAAAAAGGGGTCATTTTTACCGATTTTGAAGGGCTGTATCTTCGTTACTGTTCGTTTGATTTGTACAAAGTTTTCAGGGTATACTAACAAAAATACGGTCTTTAACAGCATATTTTTTTATTTATTTTAACGTTTTTTTTTTAATTAAATAAAAGGGCTTTAAAAATATTTTCTCGAAAAACCCTCGAACTGAGATATAAGTTGAAGTATTTGAGATATAAGTTGAAGTATTTTTATACAAAATTTCATAAAGATTGGTAAAGGTGTTTTAGAATTAGAATTTTTTTACTTATTATGCGTTAATTTTGACGCGCAGTGTACGTACCTACCGATGTAAATGACACATAACACCTTTAAACAAAAATATTGAAAATGCAACACCAAATTTATTTTTAATTACAATTACAATATTTTTTTTCTTTATTAGAAAAATTGTTACTAAACTCCTTTATCCACTTGCCCCTTCAATTATTGTTTTTGTATTATTATTTGTCTTAATTATTTTTAAGTATGTTTGAAATGATACTTTTTCACAAGGAAACTGCAGCGAAGTGGCAAGTTCCTAACCTAACTATTAGTATTAGCCTATTACTAATAGACTATTAGTAATAGTAATTAGGTAGTAATAGTCTATTATTAGTCTATGCACTTTTAGAATTAAATTTCTATAGGATCATGTATTGCACGTTATCGTCCAGACGCGTTCTTTGCGAGTAAATGGAATGTTACCGTGCATCAATGGCTCATACAGTATTGCCAGATCAGGGGTTTCCCCCTAGATTTGGTTTTATAACGTTCGGGGGGAGTTTTAGGGAAGCGAAGTTCTTTGAGGGATTTAAGGGGGATTCATCATTCCCCAGTTTTTTCGGTCAAGAACTTATTGTAGGTAAAAAATAATAATTAAATGAAACTATAGAATGATATAAACCTGAGTTAAATCTAACAAATTGGTATACCGTTTAGATCATGGTACCTATAGGGGCATAATAAATGCTAAGTGCGGAACACTCGGTGACCTTCGGGAAATTTCGGTCTTTTTGAAATATCTGGTGATATCTCTAGGCATAGAGCCTATACGTTTCTAGGGATGGTTTTGGCGATTTGCTGTCAAATATCAAAATAGTCATTCGAAATTTAAATAAAAATCTACCCCAGAGCCAAACCACTGTGTTCAAACTGTATCCAATTTTTTTTTTGGTACATACATATATCAAAAAACTAAGTAAGTCAACAATAATTAATTATTAATCCTGTTTACCATTGGAAAGATTCTTAACAGAATTATCATTGATTAAGGTGTACTCACTCAACGATATTATAATCAGTAGCCTCGAGGGGGCCCCGTATCAAAAATCTGGTAGGGGCCCTTATATGGGAAAAGCTGCTGGCAAAAAAATTTTTGGGTGTCACGACCAAAGTCCATTTTGGGCAAACAAAAAAATTTTTAGGGAATAACTTTTTTGCATTTACCAATTTTTTATAATTTAATAAATAATATATAATATATATATATATATATATATTATATTAGGGTGCTTCATTTTAGAGTGACTCATATTGTCAAATTCTTAAAAATTCAGTTTCTGACGACTGTA